CACTATCTTTTATATGCCCTAACAACATATGAAAATGTTTCTAATTTGAATTAAATTTTGGTTACTTACAACAAAGATGATTTTAAAGAAGATCTGAGTAAGGTAATTTTTCACTATGAAATTAAATCATCATAAATAAAAAAGAAATTTAAATCTGAACATCTTTAAGATATAACTATTTATAAGATAAATGAAAATCCCTGAATTCAAAGATGTAATGCATGGATAATAAGAAAAAAAATGACCACTATCTTGATTCATAAGCTTAATCATTCTAAAAAATATTACAGTCTTGTTGAATTTCTCCACAGAGGTCTTTTTTCTCCTTCATGAAATTTTCTCTGTTTTTCCAACTCCTAGCAAAATGCCTGGTATATAAAGGGCTATTCAACAAACATAATATTCCAGCAAAGATACATAAACCCATTTGCTAATGTGCAAATTGTGTGTGAGAGAGTGCGTGTGTGTGTATTTCTTTAATAGAGTTAAATTACTAAACCTATTAACTTTGCACAAACCACTTACCTTCTTGAAGACTTAGCTTTTTCTTTAAAATAAAGATAAGTTAGATGATCTCTAAGAGCTTTAATTCCAGCTTTATTATTCTATAATTAGTATTTATAAAGTCAGATATGAGCTCACTTAGATTTTATGAGGCAAATTTAACTAACACAGGGAAAAAAGTATAAAAATCATCCCAGTCCTGAAGGAGGTAAAAAGATAATTGAGAAGAAAAAAACACCTCACCGTTAGAAAATGATACAATAGAACACAGAATCAAATACTAATTGGTAAAGTAAAGGTTATTTGCAGAGGCCCCTGAACTCAGTGCTTTGATGAGGGTAAAACCAGAGGAGCTGGGGGAGATTTCACACACAAAGTGGGAGTTGAGCTGTTTTTGTGAGAAAGTGGGATTTGGACATATGGAGACAGAATGATGACAGACACTAAACATCATCTGTGTCCTGTTGTCTCTTGAAAATCAGCTCTTCTTATTAAGCCTAATGAAAGAATTCTTAAATGTACACATTTGGGTTATAGAATGGTAGAGAGAAATAAGATTTAAAAAAATCATACCCTAGAGAAATAAAAATTCTGCTACATTTCTTCAGATAATTTCTATATATATATAAATTATCAATATCATAAAATATTTTCATGAGTTATAATAGTCATTCACATAGCATTAGTCTTCTTACCACTAAAGGCAAACATTATCATAAATAATAAGCAGATATGTTGGCAAAATATTTAGGGTGCTTTGTGGATTTAAAATAAGATTTCTAAATTGCAGAAAACTTTTAACAATAGAAACATTCAGAGTCAGCTATAAAGGACTTTGAAAAGGAAAGAGATGAAGTCAGTAAGGTGACTGAAGCATCTTCTTAATCAAAAAGGAGATGCGCTCTGAGAAATGCAAACATCAAGATCCACATGGGAAGGTCTGATCCACTCAACACTCAAGTGGTGCTTATTATCACCGTACTGAACAAATTCACGCTTGAGTTCATTTTCTAAGACAGACATGAAGTGACTTTAGGAAATGTTGAGTAAAAGATGGATAAACCATAAATAAAACTTAAAAGAGTAGCGCAGATGTAAAGAATGTGGGTGAAAAGGAAGAAATTTCAGAAAGCAGTTAAATCAGGTCATTTATTGCTATTAAATGCAAGCATCTTTTTAAAGATTCAATTTACATATATTTTTAGTTATTTTATAAAACGTTGTAGGGTCAAATGCAGAAAGTGACCTGTCATACAGATGATTTATAAGTAGGTTGTTGATAAGATCACTACAAAGCCTCAGAAATCGGCAAAGGGCCTCCCAAAGCATGTCTTGAAAAAGGAAGCTATCCTTGTATAATGCAGGATATGCTGCAATCTTGGAAATGGTAACAGTGACTTTTGAAAGACTATGCAACAAGAACAGTTTTGGGTAACTTGCAGATTTCATTTAAAATTGGTAGCTGGAGAGTGGAATTCATATGTGTATCAGTGATTCTTAAGCATGCTCCCACTGGCTGACAATTCTTGAAGATACATGAGTTCCAAACTGTTTCAGTATTTTGTAAAGCCATTAGGAATTTTATGTTTAAGGCCATTTTGATATTTGGTATTTTGATATTAGAATTTTAGAATCAGCTTCCTAAATTTCTATAATAGCTATTATCATATAAATATTACTATTGTATTTTTCCCCAATCCAAATTCCTTACAATGATCCCCAGGGTTTTATACAATCTGATGGTTGCCTTTCTTTTTAATTCCATCTCCTGCTATTCTCTCTCTTTTGTCAAATTTGTCCCGGTTTCTTTCTGTTCCCTGGTCACACCTACCTCTTTCCCAACCCCAGTGTGGGCTTCAAGGATATTAGACCTATGTAGTTGCAGAGGGCCCTAAAATCACAAGGGTCTTGAACTGGATTTACTGCACTGGTGTTGCCACCTTGAAAGTCTTAATAATTTTTAAACAGAGGCCTCCCCAGTTTCCTTTGGCACTGGGCACCTCCAGTTGTGTAGTCAGTGCTCCTTTCCATGCACCTGTTGGGGAACAGGCTCCACCTTCTGTAGCCCAGTCACACTAACCTTTTTTCCATCTCAGACCATTGTGTGTTCTGTTTATTCTTTCTGAAATATGCTTCTACTAGTTCTTTATAGGGCTGAAACTTTCTCAACCTTTGGTCTCAACTCAAATGTCAACTCAGACAAACCTTACTGATTTCTTTATCTAAAGTGTCTCTTCTCATCATTCTATCTCATTATCCATTCCATTCTTTTCCTTAAAGACACTTACTGCAATATAATAACCTCATTTACTTGTTTCCTTGTTCATTCTCACACATTCTTCCTCCTAAAGGGAGAGTAGAAGGAAAATCCACAATCTTGTCTTTCTCAGTATACCCTGATACATTATCAGAGCTGAAATTACCGACAAGGACTGTCTCCTTGACCAAATTTGTGTTGGCCTCCTGTAAGCTCGGTTCTCTACAGAAGCCTTGGCCTACAAAAACTGCAGATTTTCAGCACAAATCATTTTGCCCATCCTGTTCCACCCACTTCTCCATCAAAAGACTTCAACAAACATGAACATAATTTCTAACAGTTCAAGGCCACATCCCTAGGATGACCCCAAAAAAAGGGATCATTAAGGCAGCTGCCCCTGTAAAGCATCTTCCAGAAAAACAAACTCCAGGCTGTCAAAAGAATTTACTGTTTGCTCTAGCTAACACCTGAAAACAGGCAGGCCTCTGCTCATTCTTAGGGCATTTACTACAAAGGGCTTACAATGGTAAATCCTTCCTCTGTCCCTTTGAGATGTGTATGTATCTCCAGCTCAGGACTGCCTTTCTCAAAAACCTGAAAGCCACTTCTTAGAAATGGAATCAGCGGGCAAGACAGGTCTCTGTCTTTCTGCCTCCCAGTCCCTCTGGAGTGTCAGAATCCCAACTCCGACATTTGCCAGTTTACAGACATCGCTGGTCTCACGGAACTGATGTGATCAATGCTTTGTCATTTTTCACTTCCTTGCCTCTGCTCAAGTCCCTCTTTGGTTCCCCCAGTCCCTTCCCTCCTGAAAACACCCAGTCACCTCTGTACAAGTAGAAGTCTATGTGCATCACCAGAATATTATTAATTAAAATCTGTCCTTACCACTTTAGTGTCTGGTTTTGTTTATCTTTGACAAGAGGGCTTGACACCTGCTAAGTGTTCAATATTAATCTGTTGAGTGAATAAATAAGATAATAATAGGAATCAATGATATCTCATCAATGTTCTTGGGGAGATTTGTTTTTCCTGGTTAAAGCTATTACATGGTATGGGCACTTCCTCCATTATAATTCAGCAACATTTTCTAGAGATTTCTTCTCCATACACAGGCCACTTTTTATTTGAGATAAGATACCTATGACTGTGAGATTTATATGTGTATATTTTATAAGTATTGCAGCCTTTCTGTCAATTTATGATCCAAAAAAGTAACTCAATTCCCTAAACCAAAGAAAATAGACAGCTTGATGGATACATTTGGGCATTATTTGGAAGAAAGCAAAAGAATAGCCATTAATAGAACATGATGATAACTTCAGGAAAAAATAGCTTTAGATCAAAGGAACAACAAGAACTAATGTCCAATGCTGGTGGGGCTATAGTAAAATTGAAACTTTAACCGAGTGTGATAATAATGTAAAGTGGGATAAATCTCTTAAAAA